CCAATAAAATAATTTAATTTAAAAAAAAAAAAAAGAAAGCTGATCTCTCTTTCCTGTCTTCATCTTAGGGAGAACATTAATGTTCATAATTTCAACACTAAGCATTATATTAAATATAGATTTTTTGTAAATGACCTTTATTGGATTGAGAAATTGTCCTTTTTTGTCTCCTGAGAGTTCTGCTTTTTGTCATGAATAGATGATCAGTTTCAAATACTTTTTGTATCAGTTGAAGATGAACCAATTATTTACAGCATTTTTGTGTCTCTGTGGTAAATTACATTGATTGATCTTTGAATATTGGACCTATTTTGATTTCCTGGGTATCACTTCATCTGATCATAATGTATGTGTAAATAGTTTCTTGAGGAATTTTGCATATATTTTTGAGGGATATTTTTCTGTAGATTCCTTTTCTTTAATATTTTTGCCAGGTTTGGTTACCAAGGTTAACCTAGCTTCATAAAATAAGTTGGAAAGTATCTACTCCACCTCTATTTTCTGGAACAAATTTTTATAAGATTGGTACTATTTCTTTCTTATACATTTGATAGAATTCACTAGCTCATAATTGACAAGCACAGAGATTTCTTTGTGGGAAAGTTTTTTGATAATAAATGTAATTTCTTTGGAACAAACAGAACTGTTGAGATATTCAATTTGTATGTGAGTCAGTTTTACTAATTTGTGATTATAAGAATACATTTTACTATATAAAAGTTATTACATGCATTGTCATAAATTTTAAATTTCCTTATTATAATTTTAATATCTCATGATCTATAGTGATATCTTCTTTTACATTTCAGATTTTGATATCTTATATCTTTTCTTTCTTTTCTTTACCTTTCTTATTAGAGCTCATCAGCTAAAATTATCTATGAAAACCTCTTAAGTTACCTACCCAAATATATGGGATTTTATGTTTATAATATTTTAGTATTTCTTTTCATAAAACTTCTCTCTCTTTTTTGGTCACACTTCCTTTATAGCCTTTATTTCTTTCATTTATTTCTGTAGGATAACAAAAAAGCAATTGCTTTGCTACCTAAACATTTTTTCTCAATAATCAATTATAAAAATATAGGAATTTCCCCTAGTTGTCATGAGTGTCCTCTGACTATTTCAGGTACATTTCTGTTGAATGTGGAATAAATCAATGGTAAGTAAAATGGCAGCATGAAGCCACTTTATTTTAATTCATTCTCTTTCTCCATTAACATGTGTCCATGCACCACCTACCTAGAACCACCAAAGTTAAAGTCCTAGAATTGAAATATGATACTATTCCAAAGTATATAGAAATGCTACCTGAGTCAAGACATTTCCTTTTTGTTTCTGCAGTAAGGGCTTTGTTGGAGTAGAATGTATGAATTTTAGTAAACTCCAAGAAGAGAAATATTTCATCAAGACAAAGAAATTCTTATTGGTTGGTGAAAGCAAGATATGTGTGAAGCTTGGAGAAGAGACTCTAGCTTGTAAAACAGTGGAAATAGCCCACTTAGGTAAGCAGTTGTGGATAAGGATCATTGCCACTTTTTCAATATCTGCAGAATTGTCTGGAGAGCTCTGGACAAGCCAGTGTGAAATAGCAGGCTGAAAAATTCAAAGCTAAATGAAAAAGGGTGAGACTCAGAAGCAGACCAAATCAAAGTCCTCTTAAGCCATTTTATAGGGGCCAGAATGTAAGTTAATAACTAACCTCAGTTAATTAAGACTCCATTTCCTCATCAGTATAGTGGTGATAAAGAGACTATTGCTTGAAGTCAGTATAAACAAAAGAGGCTGTAGTTGGTAATATGTAATCAGTATCTGCTCTGTTCTTCCCTGAGTTCCTCCATTATCATTAAGAGTCCTTGGGAAATGGGGACATTCAGGGCATAAGTCTCAGAAGCTTTTGTTGAGAATGTGAAGGAAAGACAGGGATAAGAGAGTCACCAGGATTCTCTGTTGGGCTGACTTTCAATACCCACTACCTTTCATCTTGCTTCCTTCAAGTCTAGGATATCCTCATTTTTATAGTGATTCTAAGGGTGCAAAAGGATAAACTGCCCCTTCTACAAGAAACCCAAGGTTAAAGAAAAAGCACCTATATTTTCAGTACCTCCAGAGCAATCCAGAAGAAAAGTAGGCAGTCACCACAATACCACAAGTGAAGACAATACTTGTGTTCTGGGCCAGACTCATTTATGAGGCTTTCATTTGCTTAGGGCAGTAGTTCATTCTCAAGCCCAACTCAAACTGCTTAAAATTCAGCTCAGTCTACTAAGTGCAAGCCAGTGAACACACATCCTGTCATTAGCAATAGGGCCTGAGATCGGTCAGGCTTCATCACTACATGAATAACTTCCCAGACCATGATAAAAGAGCAGGGGACATCATGACAGGGAAGTCTCAGGTTCAAGGTGGCGAAGTGGCCTGATATCATTCTCTGTGTCTGTTCTGCCTGAAATACCACCTATCTCCCTCCAACAGGATGTCTTATGTGACACATTTGATCCTAGCAGCAACTTTGCGAGGCAGACAAGGAGGAAGAAGAGGCCTGCAAGGAATTCAGAGTTAATGCTTCTGAGACTGACAGAAGAGAAAGTCTGAAGCCCCTCAGGAAGTTATGAGCCAGGGCCAGGATGCAGATCCTTTATTCCATGTACTGATGAGGTGCAAAATTCCCTAGCTATAACCTAATTTTGTTGGAAAAATGAAAACTCAAAGTTTACATTATACTGCATTGGGGTAGTTGTTAACAAGTTCTCTAGTGTTACAGACACAGACAATATGTTTTAGTATAAAATTAACACTAGCTGCTATAAGAAATAGTCCCCCCAACTGTGTGATATCTGACACCTTCAGTCTATGCCTTGCTCACATAAGAGCCAAAATGATTGTTCCTAACTTGTGGATGGTGCTCCTCTAAGAAAATTTAGGGCTCCCTCCATCCTATGACTGTACTATCCAACATATGAGTCCAAGTGATGGAAGGGGATTGACGAGGGGAATTACATACCTGTGGGAGAGCTCTGGGCCAAAGTGGAGCTGAAGGAGTCAGTTCCACTCACATTAACTGGATGGCCACACCAGCTGCAAGGGAGGCTGGGAAATATGGTCTGCATTTGAATCCAAGAAAAAGAAGAAATAGATTTGGATTAGTACAGCAGCTACTGACACTGAAAGGATAGGAATGATTTGCAGAGTAGATGGACTTTAAAACTTACAGTTATTTCCTTGATGGCTTTATAAACAGACTTGATTTCTTTTTCCTTTGCAGTTAAACCTGAGGCTCCTTTTGACATGAAAGTTATCTATCGTGATAGAGCAAATGACTTTGAAGTGACATTTAACACATCACATTTGCAAAAAAAATATGTAAAACAATTAATGCATGATGTAGCCTACTGCCAAGAAAAAAATGGAAACAACTGGACGGTATGTAGATCAATGAAAACAAAGACTTCTTAATGTTGTATATTTTATTGTCCTAGAAATACATCCACTTTGGAAAACTTAACATTTTTTTTCCAGAATATGCCCTTTTCTGAAAGATGCTCCCAAGATTATATTAGCTTCAGACCCCACAAAACCTACACCCGCCTTGGCCCATCCTGATCTAGCTGTGATTTTTTTTCCTTGCCCCAATGTTTCTCTTTATAATGTTTCTAACTTAATTAATCACAACATAGATTGAGATCAAAGTGATCCTCAGAAAGTGTTATGTCTAGTTCCACGTTCTTAGGTAAACCAGACAAACAACATTTCTGGGTAGCATCACCAAGACTTACCTACACTTTTGTTTTGGGAATTGCAGGAACAGCATGAGGTAAGAAGAGAATCCAGAACGTTTGTCCGTGTTTTGTTTTTATTTTAAAGTCTGATGTTTTAGTCACCGAAGTAACAATTTAGTATTTATTCCTTATGGTCTGGATGTTTATTTTGTTTCTTTCTTCAGGATTTGCTGAGTCTGTATCAACCTGAATGTTTCTATATCTGTTTTGGGGAGGAGGTGGGAGTAAAGTAAAGCATCCAGGCTATCTGATTTCATCTAAGATCCTAGCCTAATTTTGTCCCTTCTGGGCCACAAGGACAGAGATGTGTGATTTGTCTTTCTCAAGGCTTACAGGATGCCTACTGCCCTCCTTGATCAGGCCAGGGACTCTTAACAGTTTGCAGTATGCTACTTACCCAAGGCCTGTTCCCCAAACTATGTATTACCTCCATCTATTCACGCTACGCAAATATAGAAACATATAGAAACTGGATGGCCTGGATCCTACCTTTTTCATTATTCATCTGAAAATTGTACTGATGGAAAAGCAAAAACAGTTGAGAAAGAAAGGATTTTGAATGAATGGTTCCAAGAAAATAGATTGTCTGAGAAAAAAAAATGTAGTCAGTGTATAGCCCCTACCATAGGCTTATCTGTGCCAACACAGAAGACAGTCAAAATTGTAAGGCAAATGAAAAATTAAGATTAAATTGCTGCATATGTAGCTGACAGAAAGTCAATATCTATATAAAGAGCTTTAATGAATAATTAAGAAAGAAATATTGCAATAGAAAAAATAAAAACTTGAAAATGTTTTTTGAGTAAGACATATATAAATTCAATAAATACATGCAAAAAGACATAAATATAAATAATAATGGAATATTACTTTTTACCCATAAAATTCATAGAAAGTTTTCATTCTTTTTTTAAAATTAATTTTGTTGGTGCATTTAAGGTATACAATATAATGACATTCATCATTGGAAATTTGCACCTTTACGTAATCTCTCTTGGTTCTTATTTTTTCCACATTCCCCTGCCCTCCCTTCAACCCCTCCATCCCTCCCTATTTACAAAGACTTTGTTTCCATTTTTTCCCCTTCGCGTATTAATTCCATTCCCTTCTTTCTTTTCCCCTATCCCTCCTGCTTCCCCCTCCCCTTTGCACTTTTTCTTCCTACTTCAAATTATCCATTATATATTTTGTTCCTTATTTATACTTTCAGTTTCTCACACTAGAGAAACTATTCAGAATTTACACATGTGTGTGCTGTTTATTTCACTTAAGAGTATGGCCTCAATGTGCATCCACTTAGCTATAAAATGTCTTTAGCTTCTCACTCTTTATGGCTGAGTAGTAGTCCATTTTATTAAAAAAATAATAATAATAACATTTACTTTATCCAGTCTCCAGTTGATGGGAAATTGGGTTGTTTCCAAGTTCTAGCTATCACAAATTGTGCTGCTATGAACATGGGTGCACATATATCACTGTGATGTGATTCTTTTAATTCTTTGTGGAAGATACCCAGCAGGGGAATAGCTGGCTCAAATGGGACTTCCAGTCCTAGTTTTTGGAGGAATCTCCATACAGATTTCCACAGTGGTCGCACCAGCCTACACTCCCATCAGCAGTGGAGCAGTGTTCCTCTTTCCCTGCAGCCCCACCAGCATTTGTTATTGGTTGATTTCATGATAGCAGCCCCACCAGCATTTCTTATTGGTTGATTTCGTGATAGCAGCCATTCTTTCTTGGGTGAGGTGGAATCTCAACATTGTATTCATTTGCATCTTTCTAATGACCATTGATGTTGAAATTTTTTTCATATGTTTATTTGCTATTTCTATTTCTTTGTCTGAGAAATGTCAGCTCATTTCAGATGCCCATTTTCTGATTGGGTCTTTAAATTTGGGAGGTCTGATCTTTTCAACTTCTTTGTAGATTTTAGGTGGTAGACTTCTGTTTTGAGGAACAGCAGGTGAAAATTTTTTCCCACATAGTGGGTTGTCTCTTCACACTGTTGGTGGTTTCTCTTGCTGTGCAGAAGCTTTTTAATAAGAAGAGATCCCCCTTGTTGATTGTTTGTGCTAGTTCACAGCCAACTGAGGTTTTGTGCATAAAATCTTTTCCTACGCCAATGCCTTCAAGAGTTGTACCTAACCTCTGTTCCAGCCGGTTCAGTGTTTCTGCTTTAATATTTAGATCTTTAAACCATTTCGATTTTAGTTTAGTGCATGGTGAGAGATACAGGTCTAGTTTTAATCTTTGGCAGGTTGAAACCCAGTTTTTCCAGTACCATTTACTAAAGAGGCTATCTTTCCTCCAGTGAAGGTGTTTGGCTCCTTTGTCAAAGATGAGGTGGCTGAGTGTATCTGGAGTTAATTCTGCATCTTCTAATCTGTTCCACTGGTCCTCTAGTCTGTTTCTTTGCCAGTACCATGCTGGTTTTTTCACAGTACCTTTATAGTATAGTTTCAAGTTGGGGCTTGTGATACCCCTTACCATGTCTCTGTTACCTAGAATTCCTTTACTATTCTAGGACTCTTCTTGTTCCAAATGAATTTTTGGATTGTTTTCTCAAGGTCTGTAAAGTATGCTGGTGGAATTTCAATTGAGATTGCATTGAATCTATATAGCAGTTTGGGAAGCATGGCCATTTTCACTATGTTGCTTCTTCCTCTCCAGGAGCAAGGGATGTCTTTCTATTTTCTGATATTGTTTTCAATCTCTCTTTTCAGAGTCCTATAGTTTTCAGAGAAGAGGTCTTTGATTTCTTTTGTAAGGCTGATTCCTAGGTATTTCAGTTTTTTGGATGCTATTGTGAAAGGTATTGTTTGTTCTATTTCTCTCTCAGTGAGTCTGTTGTTCGTGTACAGAAAAGCTATTGATTTTTGTGGCTGACCTTGTATCCAGCTACTTAACTGAATTTAGTTATTAAATCTAGAAGAATTTTGGTGGTATTCTTGGGGTCTTCTATATAGAGTATCATGTCATCTGCAAATAATGACAATTTGACTTCTTAGTTTCCAATCTTTATTCTTTTTTTTTTTCTTTCTCTTTTCTAATTGCTATGGCTAATGTTTCCAAAACTATATTGAACAGGAGTGGTGATAGTGGACATTCTTGTCTTGTTCCTGATTGTATTGTGAAGGATTTCAGTTTCTGACCATTTAGTATGATATTGGGTATTGGGTTTTTTTGTTTGCTTATTTGTTTGTTTTACTTTTCTTTGAATACCTTTTTCATTTTTGTTTTTGTTTTTTTTTCCCATTTAGTTTATTGGTGCATTTTAGGTATACAATACAGTTACATTCATCATTGGGACCTTGTACCTTTATATGATGTATTTTGGTTCTTATTTTTTCCCCATTCCCCTGCCCTCCCTTCATCCTCTCTGCCCTTCCCTATTTACAAAGACTTTGTTTCCATGTTTTTCCTTTTCTCATATTTTTTCAAGTGGGAGGGGAAGGGGAAAGGAAAGAAGGCTGTTGATTTTTCATACATGAATTTTATCAGATTGAGGTAGAGACCATCTATGGCAATTTTTTGTAGGGTTTTATCATAAATGCATGTTTGGATTTTGTCAAATGTTTTTTCTGTCAAATGCTTTTTCTGAGATGATCACATGATTTTTTTCTACTTGGCTCTATTAATATAGTATATTACATTTATTGATTTGCATATGTTGACCCATCCCTTTATCCCTAGGATGAATCCCACTTGGTCAAGATGTATGATCTTCTTGACAATCTTCTGCATTCTATTTGCCAGTATTTTATTAAGGATTTTTGCATCTATGTTCATTAGTGAGATTGGCCTATAGTTCTCTTTTACAGTGGGGTCTTTCTCTGCTTTTGGAATGAAGGTGATGCTTGCTTCTAGGAATGAATTTGGGAGTATTGCTTCCCTTTCAATTTCATTGAAGAGTTTAAACAGTAGTGGCAGTAGTTCCTCTC